AAATGGGGACAAGCAACACAGCATTAACACACGCAAAATGTATTCTCATGACTCTACTAGATCCCGCAGAGGCTCATTGATGTGGAATAGAAACAGTGACGATGTAGTGCAACGCACAACTTGCTGCCAGGCTATTAAAGGGTTAACCCTAGGGGTGGTCACAACAGATGGGGGACCTACGGTTTGTCCACTGGAATTATGCAGTTGTCTTTACACCAATCAGAAAACTACAATGGTGGGGAACAAATAACATAGCCAATGGTCAGAGTACGAAAGACAAACTTTAGAAATAAAGCAGAACACAGAGGTGAAACGAACTAAATACATTTCAAAGTGTTAAAGGAACGCTGTAGGCACTATAACCGATTCATCTAACTGAAGTGGCTACAGTGTCAGGAGTAAACCTTCCATTCAGTGTTAATCTGTTTCAATGTTTCTGTGATAAGATGAAAACAATCAATTGATACTCTCAGCCAATCACAATGCCCATTCAGGTATGAACCAGTGTTCACAAGTACAAGGAATCGTGCAATCTCTGCCTTAGTCACACCTACAGAAGGGGCGGGGTACAGAAAGCCAGGGACCATCATTCAGTGGAAAATGGTTTAAAACTCAATGAAGCGCAATCAAATGAAATGGTTATGGTACTTACAGTGTCTCTTTAAATTGAATGCTGATGTATGACTATTTGTGACTAGACTTCGTAGCTGCTTGCATTTGAATGGATTAATAAAGTTTCAACAGGCACAAAGCAGAAGACGATGCAAACATATGGCACAAGTTTTTTTTTTTTTTTTAAATAAACAAAATTGAAAATTAGCCAATGAGATCAACCTCCAACTTTGCACTCAAATGGTTAGTTTAAGTGACAGTGATCTCACAGTGGTATCCACAGAATGATCTGTGATTCAACATTTGTATATAAAGCCAAGAGATGCCATTTAAATTAACAGGGAGTACTCCAGACGTAGGAATTATTGCATGTGACATGGATTACCAACATTTACGGTCTGCAGCAACCAGGGACAAATAGCAACACCGCCAAAGGGGAACCAGACTCCTGCTTCGCCATGAAATGCTAACATACCGTCAGCCTCGTGGGATCCTGACTTCCAACTTAATTAACGTGTACGGGGACGAATAGACTGCATACCGTTCAGAGACACCAGGCTCGATACGAGCAAATACAGGGTCTGACATCCAAAAGGGTTATATTAAAAAAAAAAAACACGATTTAAAAGTACATCTTTCTTTCATTTCCAATAATTCTTTAAATTCAATTAAAAAATATATATATATAAAGAATCAGGGCTTAGCCGGACAACAAATTGAAAGCAGATACCAGGACAAATAATGCAATTTGCTGACAGTAATGATCAAGAATGTATGCATGGGAAAAATGCATTATTTTGCAAGGTCATGGAAAGATCATCCGAGATTTCCATGAGATTGTAGCAAAAAGCAGCTGTCTAAAAGCAAGCTCGGTATGACCAGAATTTCTGAAATATCAGATTATTATTAACTCTGTCCATTGCAAAGAAACCTCGCAAGAGAGACACAAAGAGCAACGGAGGGCGCCAAGTTCTTAAAATGGTGAAATCAACATGGAAGCCCATGGAATGTTGCGTCTGATTGGTCAGATTTTAGAACTTTGTCCCCGGATAACACCGTGTAAAGAAATATTGTTACAAAGCAAATTGCTTTGGATTCAGGCTTTTTATTACTAAAACACCCGCTGGTAAAGTGCTCAAAACTCAAGACATATGTTTAATTCAGCCTGTCACATTTTTTGCTAGTCCATTTTCGCCAACGTATCCAGTGCTTTGGAATTACACCTCCTTCGTCCCTCCATAAATCAAGGTGACAGCAGGTGTTAATTTAGCCAGAAGGAGGGACTGATCATTTTAATAAGTGCACGGAAGCAGATAGTACCGTATGAAATCTATTTGTGGTTAATGTGTAGAAGTGCTTGGAATGATCATTAGACCACATAACTTATTAATAGAATGTGCCGGAGAACTGTAAATTGTTCTATTATTCTGTACCTTTAAATAACGTAAAAACCATTTACAGTATTATTCTACTCAAGGGCACATCCGCCATATAACCTTTTAGCCTAAATTCCACTGCAAACTATTTGCGATTTGTATGTGAGTCATAAGTTAACAAGAACAGGGAAGGATCCATCTAACTAAGTAAATGATAGAGAGTAACAACCCCAGGGCATCAGAAAATTATTAAATAAAAATAAAAGGTCTTGCGGGATACAGGACAATACTTCTTTAATAGAAGGTTCTGTAGAACTATAAGGTACAGTCTTTTTGTTTGTTGTGTGCAGGTAAGGAAAAGAAAGGTGTTCTCTAGGGACGTACCTCTTTTCCCGAGAAATGCGTTTTGCATTTGTTTGGGGATACCAACACATGCAAGCTAGCCAACCACTATGCAGCACCTCCTCTGTAAACCCTGCCCAGGACAACAGGACAAGGGTTCAAATGCTGTA